GGAGCAACTCCAACCTGATAGATTTCGGCGCTCTGGTTGTGTTTCGAGACAAAAACCTCATCGACAGCCGGTTCAGACGGCGAAAACGCCGACGACGATTCCATGTCGACATCGGACTGCCCAGTGATGGACATCTTCACCGGGCGCTCGCACGTTCCCCCTTATTACTGAAAATGAATCGATTAATAGCAGGAAAGATGGTTCTAGAAAATGCGAACGAACAATCCTTATCGATATAGCGGAAGATTGCCACTTTATGCAGGAAAGAAATCCAGAATTACACCCTTCTCGAAAGATCACCCTGATTAGGCGCTTGTCCCCAGTGATTGCCGGTGATCCAGCGAATAATCACGTCAACAGTCCGTTGGTAAAGGTACGGACGGGGCGTCGTATTTGGGACTAGCGATGGGCAAAAGAACGAAAAGGGGGCCATGTTGTATACGAAGAAGTCGAAGGAGTCGCGATAACAGTAAATGCGAAAGAGAGGGTCGTTATTGAAAGGTTTTATGACAACTATAGTAAAAATTTCATAAAGGAGATGCTACAGAAAATTAGAGTATTTGCCGTTCTTTGGAATGTATTCACCCTAGCAATTCAGCTCCTCGCCCCTCGACGGCCTTAGGGTTGCTCCTATGAAGTGGTTAGGGTTGAGGCACACTTGAAGGGTATATCATTGGCGCAGCAGTTCCACGGACCACAATGGGTAAAGCATTCATACGACCCGACTCTTCATGGAATGCGCCATGCACTCTACTTCTATTTGGAATCATTGCGATTGAGTGTGATTTCGCCCGCACATACGATAACTTGTGGGGACATGCTAATGTATAAGTTGTAACTGTAAGTTTGTAACTTTCAGAGGGGATAGTTCAGTGTTTTTGGGAGAGTCCGGTGTGGGTTGATCTCTGAGGAGGTGTGCAGGACTTGGTTGGTCTGGAAGAGAACTATCGAACAGGTTTTACAGGATGCGCGCACTAAGAGGCGATGGTTTCCATGCACCCACTCCCTTCTGAGGGTTAAAACACAGCTTTGAAGGGAGCTGGGTAAGTAATCTCTCAAGCTTCGAGACGATGCTTTTTCATTCAGCCACCAATTAAATATGTTTTAAAGGGTAGAAGTTCTGAAACAACGGTAATAGGACCGAAATCTTGCAAATTGCAATTAAGGTACGTCTCCGCAAATCAAATTTCTCACATCATTCGCATACGAATGGCTATATTATTTACAATATGCCTTCCGTGCGATAAGCATAACATGCGGAATGCCTTCAGGTGTCAAAGTGGCGGATCGCAGAAAGTTCACGAAAGGATCACGAAAGGAAGAGCAGTTCTGAATGGGGACCATTTCCTGACTGGAAGGGATCTCCCTTTTCCCGTCGACCGGGGAGAATGGCATTAAAACACATTGCACAGTTGGATAGGCATGGGTTTAGGTTCGACATGGAGTGGTTGTGGGCGGTTTTAGATCATCGAGTAATTGGTAGACATCAATTTGCAAATGTTCTCATTCGCAGTGCGCGATCGTATGGACGAGGTTGCGACCCGCCTTTAGACCATGGAATGTAACACGATGCGTATAACAGACGAGTCTTTAAATGGCTCAGAATTTCAGAATGTGAGAATCACTAAAAAGGCAGGACAGATTGACTGCGCAAAAATCAAATCATGAACCAACTTAAGGATAACAAGTATAAACCCAGCAAAAACGGCGACAACCGATATCAAAAAAAAATTCTCCTAAGCAACCTTATTGGAAAAGCTCACGATCACCAACGGGTTCAGGAACGTTTCTTCTTTGCTTTTTATCTATGAACAGTAGGATTTGTTAGCAGATGTAAAGCTTCAGCGATCACAAAGAAACAAGAATCTATCGAAACGAGGGCTGCTAGTGTGATGATCACTTCAAAAAAAAAGCAATCGAGCTGGCTTCAGGGGGGAGTTTTACATGTGACTGACGGGAAGGAGTTGAGACAAAAGCTGAGATGAAGAATGACTGCTACCGCTGGCCGTGTGCAAGATGGAAGGCCCTGCCGTCTTTGCCCTGCCCCTCAAAATTGCCTGACGCTAGGATGTGATGTTAGCCGGGCTCCACCTAGAACACGTGGCCCCGCCTAGAATTGACATCGTGAGCACGTGCATGCTCTCATTCATGCCCATACACTCTCGTCTCTGACTCTTTACTCTCTTCTCGATGACGTAATCTTTTATTTCGCTGTCTGCCTCTCATATTTCAACGGTTTAAAAAGGGAGGCGGTCATATGGCGCGATCCCATTGGCATTAGAGCGCACAGTATCCAGGACAACTCGTCCGTATCACACAGCTGCTAGACTTCAGCAATTGATCGATGTGATAATTTGGGCCCTCAAAAATCTCGCTGAGTCCCAAAGATCTAAAAGTGGGTAGCTTCGTTGGCCTGATGCCAAGGCAAGATGAACGGAACAGAATGTGTTGCGCGGACGAGTTGTCCGGCCACAGCAGGACGTGGTAATTACGGCCTGTGCGCTCCAATGCCAATGGGATCGCGCCATATGACGCACACCCTTAAAAAAGGTGACCCTTATTTTTACTTTCTTGATGGTTTGAAAACTGCTTCTCTTTCAACTACTGCTCCATTCAAATTTACTTTCATTTTCCGTTGAAATAATCAAAGAGATTTTATTGTGGGTTGAGCGTTCAACGACTGTTTTACTAAAGACCACTTGTGAAAACATCTAATTTTGAACAATGACGGTTACTTTAAAATATAAGTTGTATTCTCAAAGAACTACAACAATACAAAAGCCGCGGAAAGAATAAATGGCGTGGTGGGACGAAAAGACTCGTAACAACCACCAACCACCCTTTTCATTGGCTAGCGCACTTCAATATCCAATAAAATAGCATGTCTCGAAAATACCCTAACATTCCACTTTTTTCATTGCTCCTCTTAGCTGTGCTTTCACAGATACCATAATATTATTCAGTTCTCATAAACCATAGACTGACAGCCTTTCAAACATCTCCACAATGCGGAACGGAAGTCAGCGGCAAGGCGCTCCCAAAATATTGATCGATGCCGAAAACTCTGTCTAATGACCATTAACACATTGGAAACCGCGCATGTTTTACGTTTTGCGGCCGCGTGGAATATCAGTGAAAGTTTTAAGAATCTAATAAAACAAGTTGGGAGGAAAACCTATTTAGATTACTTGAACGAAAAAAAGGCTCAATATTTTCTTCCAAAATACTGACTGTAAGGTCCGACGCGACCGGCAGACTGCTGCCCACATATGGGCTGCATGGGCTCCAAGGTGTCAAACATACGATAACATGATAACTACGAATGGTGTTTTTTGATTAGATACTTATGAAGCAGCCTAGCAAACAGTACAGTAAACATGAGGATCAGATCTGGCGTGTACCGTGCTCTGTAGAAACGGTGAAAATACAAACCGATAGGAGGGCAATAGCATAGAAAATCGATTGTAAGACGTTAAATGGCAATTTTACACAATGTGTGTCTGTACAAGGGGAAAACAGGTTAGTGAGACCGAGAACGAAATGTAAAAGGAGAGAACGAGGCGCGACCTTGGATGGCGTGCCACACGAAAACGTGTGTCTCTTCCTGACTCATCGATCACTGTTGTTGACCGCTTTAAGATACACTTCAGTTCCCTGTTAAGTAGAAAGAACGCCGAATATTACAGCGCCGGAGGAAGGGAACGTAGCTAAATACTGCCCTTTTAGGTCAGCATATGAACATTCAATTGATTTCATCTTCTCCCAAGCGCGCAATCAACAGAAGAAATTGGCCGCGCGGTCCACGCTTTGGACTCGATCACCACCTAGTCGGCTTTTGAAGAATCAGCTTTTTC